GGATCTACTTTCTGTTTCTCTATATAAACATTTTTTTATATTCTTCCGTGACCAATTAGCTTTTAGGATGTCTTATCACTTTGTAACATTCTGGGGTCATTTCCTGCAGCAGAATATAGCTTCTTCTTGTGTGGTGTCTCTCTTAGAGTGTTTACCTCACTTCATGGCGGAGGACGGGGTATCAGTTTGATATTCTCATTCCCATTTTAGACATAAGCAATAGGAACTTAATTCTGACAAGTTTCAGAGAAAAGAATGTATCAAAAGCTGGGAGAAGTTTCAGTGAATAAAACACCTGTTTAAGGAATTACCTGAGTTTAAAAATCCCAAAATCTAAATAATCCAGAAGCTTCCTAGGGCATTTGTAATACCCACGATTCTGTGGTGAGACAGAAGGCAAAGACATGAGAACCCTTGGAAGCTAGTGGGCCAGAGAGCCTGGTAATATACAGCACAGCAAGAAACAACTAAGGGGCTGCCTCTTACAAGGTGTGGGGGAAGGACCAACAACCAAGTTTGTCCTCTCACCGATTCTCATGTGATGTGGCGCAGACAAACGCACGCACACAGCTACACAAACAACAACAACAATTTACTGGGGTGTGCATAGGATGGAGTTACAAGGAAAGGTGGATACAAGCAGTCAATGTCCCCAAGTGTTGGGCTCCTGCTCTTGGTTCCTCTTTCTTCTGCCTTGCTATGTACCCCAGTAGACATTCCCTTTCCAGTGACAAGGTTGACCAGGATCACCTCTGGGCTTACAGACTTTTGATGGAGCAATTGTGTGGAAACCCTGACTTTCTCAATTAGCTCATCAGATGTTCATAGAGATTGGACTGTTTGAAACTGGAGCATGGTCCCATGACTGAACAAAATCTTTTGGGTGTGGAGTGGAATTGTTCCAACAGACCAGGCTTGGATCAGTTTTGTAACTTGCTCCAATTTGTTTATTACTCTTCTGATTTTCTATTTAAAAAAAGAAAAAAGAAAAACTCCCACACAATTTAGTGTCAAGACAGTTGGCACCTTAAGAGTCCATTCTAGAGATGGAGTACTATGGCTCGCCTCCCCAAACTCTCATAGAATAAGAAGATGAGGGGGTCACCCTGCAGAGAGGCTGCTGTGGAGAAAACCATGCACTGTTGATCCAGGGGGAACCTGCAGCCTCCAGCTTCCTCAGGTACTTGTCCTCACATAGCCACATAGACACATACACATAATTAAAGATAATACAAATAAATATTTTTTTTTTAAAAAAAGAATGAAAGTGGCTAGTCTCCATTAGAACCACAAGAAAAAGGAAGAAAGCTGGGCAAGCAAAACACCAGAATAATATCTTCTCTGTTCATCTCTTTAGATTCAAGGCCCTATAAAGGGCCGAATCTTACACTTTTTTTTATGTTTTTCAGGTGAGAAAATTTTTTTAAAAGCCTCAGAAGAATTTTTGCTTTCTAATTTTATTAAAATACTTGGGAAAAATCTCTCAGGATGAAGAAATGTCTCTCAGGATGAAGAAATGTCACAGCATTATACAGGGTCATTTTAAACCGCATTTCAATGTTTCAAACCCATCACCTCTAACTGAGATTATTTAAATGCAGTATTGCTTAAAGCAAACTAGGTAGATGATTTCACTTACTGAATTTTCAAAATCATTATGGAGCTATGTTTCATAAAGTAGTTTTATGCCTTACAGCTACAATAAAACCTACATTATATATTTACATAGAGAGGCATCTGGTATACATCAGAATCTGAACTTCAATCTGTGCTCCTGAAGATCTGAGGGTGACCCACTGGTTTGTGTTTTGTGACTGTCTACTTAAAACTGAGCCGTGAGCCTCTATTGTTTTGCTTTGTCCAGGGTGTGGCATTTGCTCTGAAATCATTTTCCTGTAACTTCTGCCTAACTCCTGCCAAAAATGAGTTAGGCATGAGGATTTTTTTTTTTTTTTTTTGGTTTTTCGAGACAGGGTTTCTCTGTGTAGCCCTGGCTGTCCTGGAACTCACTCTGTAGACCAGGCTGGCCTCGAACTCAGAAATCCGCCTGCCTCTGGCTCCCAAGTGCTGGGATTAAAGGCGTGTGCCACCACTGCCCGGCAGGACTTTTTTTTTTTTTTTTTTTTGGTCTGTTAGTTTCTTTCTTTAAATCACAAGGAGGTACATCTTTAACTTTGAAAACTGAATAAAATTATTTTAACATTTTGGGTTAATGAATGGATGGGCAATCTTGAGCTTAGTTCATGAAAGAAAAAGAAACTTCCTTTAACATGCTATCTTAAATCTGATGCTGCCTGTGGAGACACAGACTTTAGTCCCTGTGAATTGAGCCTGGCCAGTTCTTTCTGGAGCACAACATTCATTTGTGAATAATGAGTTTGGCTGCTGCTTCCTTTCAGTCTCTAATGCAAGGTGAGTCTAAAGAATCTCTATATAAAACCCTCTTTTCAAAAGCTGAGATGAAAGAACATTATACGTCAATGTTATTCTTACCCAAATGAAACATTTATGTAAAAAAAAATCACGTTAGAAATGAAGATCAGTAATAATGTCACATTCTTTTATCATTACATTTCTAGAAGGACTTTTCCAATATCCACTCCTTCTCAAATCTACTAAGGAAAAAGTAGTTTCCATAAATAATACCTGCCCCCTGCTCAGCCTAGGGTGTGGATGGAAAGACTGGCAATTACCTGGTTTTTATTTTTGTTTTCATTGGCATGTGAGACAGGAACTAGTCTAACTGAAATGAGAGATGTCACCACTTAGAGGCCAAACCCTCAAGAGGTCATTTATATCACCCAGGGTACATGAAAAAAAAATGGATCTTATCATTCCTGTAACTGCAAATAGTTATCTTTACTAGGAAAGGAAACAAACGCCAAATCATTTCCAGGTAGAGAGGAGAGAGGGGTGTACGTGATCGATGCCTCCTTTGCTGAGTTGCAAAGTCAGCGATTTCTGAAGTGTACCTTCTCTTCTGAATTTCTCGTTCTACAAGGAAACAAACAACCCTTATCATTTTCCCTTGTTTGATGTAGATTTCAAGCACAGTTGATGAAGGAATATAAGAGAGATAACAGGAGTCTTGTGCCAAAGGAGACCATTTTGTCCCTTTGTTTTTGACTGCTTTATCTTAAAGTGTAGGAGACCAGACTACAGGGGACTCTGGGCAGATACACATACATACATACATGCATACATGCATACATCCATACATGCATACACACACACACAGAGGCAGTGGATAAGGAAGCTTTCTTTCTGTGGGTAATCAGCTCACTGCTGTAGATATTACATGTGCCACCCATGGAGCACTCCATTCTGTTTTTTTTTTTTCTTAAAGCAATTGTGTCCCCAATAAGGAAGCAGCAGGATATGCAGAATCCTGGTCCCCAAATGCAGACGATTTAAGTTCTGCTAAACTATACATTACGTAAACTCTCCTGGAACTCTGTCTCACCCTATTGTTCAAAATAGGGCACACCTGGAGGCATCACAGCAACAATCACGCTAATACCATGACCAGAGACTGTTGAGTGCTTTATTGAACATATTGGACAAGAACCCTGAGAGGTTGGTCCTGCGGAAGTACTTGATCTGTAGATGAGGAGATGAAGCTTAAACAGGTTGGGGCACATGCCCAACATTACTCAATGCTGGCAAAGACAACCTGTAGGTCCAAGATGCTCCTGTTTGTGAATGTACGGGGTAGCTGGAGACTTGGAATCAATAATAGTGAAGGGACTGCACTCTCATTAAAATTGTCTCCTTGGTTGCATACCGGTTCTTAGTTATGGCTGTATTCTCAACTCAGTGCAGGGTGCCAAATTCAGCCTTTGACATTTAATGTCCAGAACCTAATAAATCCAGTTACTGGATTCCTGGCTAAGTCTTTTAGATTTCAGGATACAGTATATGATTTTGATATCCTTTATTCGTTTCATGGTACCCTCTTGAGTATCTTGTGTTGATACTGTAATGAAAATATTCTCTGGGCGCTTGCATCTTAACAGAGGAAGCATTTAAACATCGAGTACCTTAAAATACCTCATTAAACCCAACAAAGATTGAGTACTTCAATGTCAGGTTCATCTTTGGGCATTAGAGATACAAAGAAAAAATACTAACCTCTTTGTCAACTCTGTCTGGGCAATACAAATATTAAAGAAATATATCTCTGGGAGTTGTGCTAACTAAGTTTGAAGTTGGGTTATTCAGCTACGTGACTAGTATTCCTTTTAAAGGCAAGAACATACTTTCACATCCACAGCTGTGGCAAAATTAGAACAAATTGAGTTTGAGGACCCTAACTGACTTCTATTTTATTTTACAGAAAGGGAATTTTAAAAAGGCAGAAACATGACCAGAAAAAGTGAATTGGTTGTTTCAGAGTTTCTTTCCTTGTGCAGGTGAAAGCAGAAGGTATTTCCTCATCTTCTGCCTGAAACTGGGCACCCATAACTAGGGTGATAAGAAAATGGCACTGCGGGTGAAAAGCAAACCTGTTCTCAGTTCATCTCAACTCCACCTGTCTCCGAGTGGTACAGTGAAATGAACCAATGAGAAAGAGAGTCCCATTCGCCCCGGGCTCGGGCATCCAATCCAGGTACGCGTTTCAGACTCCGCGGCCGGCCGCCGGCGCTCGCCCCAGCGGCTGCGCACTCGGAGCGCCCGGGGCAACGCCGCTCTCGACGGTGGCCCGCGGGGTGGGCGTCCGCTACTGCGCAGGCGTCCCAGGAAGCGCTCCCCGCGAACCGCGCTCCGCCCGCGTCCGCCGAGCCCGCAAGTACCCCGGAGCGCGCGGTTCCGCTAGCGCTGAGTTCCGCGCGCTGGACCGAAGTGGCGGTGGAGGCGGGTGAGTCCCGAAGGGAAATGCCACGCCCTTCCCCAGCTCGCCGAGGGCGGGGGGTAGAGACGGTGAGAGTTTCTGGTTCCTTCTTCTCCACCCGCGGCGTAGGTCGGCTGGTGGAGACGCGCGTGGGGTGACCAGGGAGGCGGGGAGGAGGAGAGTACTGCGGCAGGTGGATGTCAACTGTGGCGTTAGGTGAGGGGCGGGGGTCATGGTTGGGGTCAGGGTCAGGGTCAGGGTCAGGATCAGGGTGAGGCGGGCGGGCGGGACCTCGCCTGCCTGGGTGTCTGCTCCAGGCTTAGTGTTTTCCTGCTGTTCAAACGGCGTTCCTGAACTAAAATCTAGAGACAGGCTCAGGGAGATGCCGGATGCTGGGTTAGGCGCTGCACAAACAACCCTTCCCACGCTGGAGCCAGCCCTGAGCCTTGATGGCTGTCCAGCCAGTGACAGGAAAAATCCTTTTGAACCTTTGGTAGGACTCCAGAGGGCCCGGCTGCAGAAGCACGCGCGCGCTTGTGTGGTTTTCCCCTTTCTTCCAGTTTCCCCAGAGATTTCTCAATTGTAGGGGAACTCGGAGCTTTCGCGCTTCTCCCCTGCCTGACCCCTCAACTAAATTTAAAGTCAATTTTACTGGGTATACCTGGGAAGAAATTTTGTTGGATATACAATGTGGGGCATTTTATGCGCAGTAAGATGTAACTGAGGTGAAGATACTGTATGTGGACTGGAACAGCAGAGAACCATTTAGAATCGTAGAATCTTTAAGACTTAGAAAGCTTTCAGGGAGTTGGGTTTTTCCCCTTAGGTTGTTAAGCACTCATTAAAAAAAAAATTTATGGGTAAACCACCTGTTATCTGTGTCAGGAGGTAGTAAAGGATAACGCTGTTTTAAAGCCACATTTGAATTTCATTGCTTCAAAGAGCAGATGGAATGCTAAGGCTGGGAAGTGGCTTTTTTACCATACCATCCTCCAACCCAACCAAGCCTTTAATGGTCTAGGGTTCAGTGAGAGTTGATTGACATGCATTCCACTTAGGCAAACCTGCAACCCAGAGCAGGTGAGGGATGTTTTGCCCCCCAAACTGGAGACTATATCAGATTTCCAGTTACCTCATGCAGTCCAGATATATCTGCCCTCTCCTCCCCTTTTAATTCCCTTTGGGGTTTTGTTGGTGTGAAAATTACAGAATTTCTTGCAACACTTTATAATTTCATTCATGGGTCCATGGCTCTCTCATTCCATGAAAAAGATCTGAGGACCTTTGACCAGCGATTTGTTTAGAGCTTAAGACTCAGTGTTAGAATGAAATATGTCAGGGTAAACATGGATCTCTGCACTGCTGAGGAAAGATGTTCTGACAGACATGGTTCTCTTCAACTCGGAGAGTGTTGTCCGGCTTATTAACTTGTAATATTTCTATACTCATTACAAGCATGGAGTTAAGATGGTTGTGAACTTTCTGAGTTCCACCGGTCATTGGACTAAATTGTCTAAAGAGAATCAAACGTCTTCTTAATTTATCGTCAGTTCCATTGTAGTGTTCTGCCTGTCATAGCACAGGCCTAACTCATTTTAGAACTAAAATGGGTGAGGGGAGCGAATATTGAGGATCTGCACCTAACCTTTATGCATTCCCATTTGACCTACAAGGAACTAGAAGCTGGGAGAGGACAGATGACCAGGGACCCATCTCCTGGTAGACTTTCTACTCTGTCCATGTTGCTAAACTTCACAACAAGGACTGCTTTCTATTCCAGGCAGTGTGCTAAGAATTCTGGGATTCATAATAGTGTGTGCGTGTATGTGTATGTGTGTGTGTGTGTGTGTGTGTGTGTGTGTATGTGTGTTTTAACATCCTTTTTCAGCATTTGGGGAAGAAAGGTTTTTTTTCGTTTGTATATTTGGGGGAGAAGGGCAGACATAGATTTCGTTATGTAATATCATTTTGAATATAGTAAGTAGTACAAAGCATTCTCACATTAAAACACCCAGATCTGCATGATCAGATGCGTAATTCACACCGTTTTTGAGGTAAGATGAAATGATAAGAATGTTTGCTCTCTTGTGGTGGGACATTTAAGGATACAGTTCCTCTTTTTTAAAATATAGTTCGATAAGTAAGACACCATTGGACTCACTGTTTAAGTGTCCAGCTTTCCGAAATTGTAACCGTCGTCACAGACAATTCGAAAGCACTTCCCCTTGGCATTCACTGCTACTTCTCACAGGCCTACCCCTAAGACTATCCATACTGTCTTCTCTCTATAGAAATGGCCCTCTTAAACATTTCATCCAAATAGTCACGCAAGAGGTGGTCATTGGTGATTTCCTCTTCCATTCGTGTTCTTGGCAGGACATCTAAGTCTGGACATAGTCAAAGGTAATGAAGAGTCACTGCCATATTTTTCCTCTAAGAACTTTACAGTCTTAGCTTTCATGTAGGTCTGTGATCAGTTTTGATTTAACTTCTCCATTTGTCAGGGGATGGGAGTACCAGGGGTCATTCTTTTGCATGTGGCTGCCCAGCTTTTAAGATATTTACTGAATCATCTTCTAACCTCTGTAACCATCAGGGGTAACTGTTTTTTGAAGCACACTATAAAATTGCATATAATCCAGTCATCCGTCGACTGTTTCTAGAAAGTGCAGTTAGGCATAATGCTGAATCTGGGATATTGGGAGAAAAGCTGTCATGCCTTTAGCTGTGAGGAGGATGCTGAAGGGTGATATACTGATGAAATCCCTGTTAGTAACTGTTACATTTCTTCTGAAGTTACTGTGGCATCCACATCCTTATAAGCTTTGTCTGTTAGTCATCTTCGTGTCACTGTTGGAGCCGTTGCCCACTGAGATTGCCCCTGTCCGGGAGCATTCATTTGTCTTCATAATAGTAGTTTGATCTTAAACACAAAGTGGGGATGGGCCCATATGGTAGACTTCCCACCAGCTACTCATGTGGGCTGATGTAAACCAAGAGAACTTGTATTCTGAACAAAAGAATCGTTTTTATGTTTTCATCTAATTTTTGTAAATGTTTAGGGTAATTTCCGCTGCTCTAGATGAGCAAGATAGACAAACAGGAATGTTTATGGAGACAGAAGAAGGTCCCATTTTCCCTCCAGAGCTCGGAGATGCCTGTAACAGGCGTCAGTAGTGAACTGGGAAAGTAAAGGCAAATTTTTTTCTGTGTTTCAACTTCATTGTTATCTTTGAAGCTAAGTTCTGAGTTGACATCGGTAGAGTTAGCATGTAAGGGATTTGTGAATGTTGATTTTCTTCCGCTGGGTAAATTTCTGAAACTTAAATTGTGTTGCTACTTTATGCGTTATGTTTTTCTTTTACGTTTCAGGGGGTCCTAGCTGCTGTGTCCAACATGTTCAGTATGAAGTTATTAGTAATTCTTTTGCTTTGGGGACTCGTCACTGGCTATAGAGGTAACTCTTCCTATAGCTCGGTACCTCAGTTACTTCTGGTATCTTTTGACGGTTTTAGAGCCGACTACCTGAAGAACTACGACCTTCCTCACCTCCAGAACTTTATCAAAGAAGGTGTCTTGGTGGAACATGTTAAAAATGTTTTCATCACGAAAACGTTTCCAAACCACTACAGCATCGTGACAGGCTTATATGAGGAAAGCCATGGCATTGTGGCCAACTCTATGTATGATAACATCACAAAGAAACATTTTTCCGAATCCAATGATAAGGATCCATTTTGGTGGAACGGCGCAGTGCCGATTTGGGTGACCAATCAGCTTCAGGAAAACAGGTCAAGTGCTGCCGCTATGTGGCCTGGTACCGACGTGCCCATTCACAATACCACACTTTCCTATTTTATGAATTACAGCAGCTCAGTGCCCTTTGAGGAGAGACTAAATAACGTTACCCAGTGGCTCAGCAGTTCCGACCCGCCAGTCACCTTTGCAGCGCTCTATTGGGAAGAACCAGACGTGAGCGGCCACAAATACGGGCCTGAAGATAAAGAAAACATGGGTCGGGCATTGAAAGAAGTAGATGACCTTATTGGTGATCTTGTCCTAAAGCTCAAGGAGTTAGGACTGTGGGAAAGCCTTAATGTGATCATCACAAGCGATCATGGGATGGCTCAGTGTTCCGAGAGCCGACTGATATATTTGGATTCTTGCATTGACCATTCAAACTACAGTGTCATAGACTTAACCCCTGTGGCTGCGATTCTTCCCAAAATAAGTAAGTAGCTGTTTAAAATTAAGTGAGATAGACATTTCTTCCAGTGATGGAATGAGTTATCAGTAGTAATACACTCAGTGTAAAAACTATCCCCTTTCTAAATCAACCAGGACAGGCTGGTCGGATACGTGGGTTATTCCAAGTGCCCATCTCTGACACTGTCGCATGACTACAGTCTGTTCTGAGGATTAAAAGCAATTTAATTAGATAATACTATCCAGAATGTATTTCTGTTTATGCTAGTCAGCTATATCTTTGCTTCTGAGTCAACTGGTTTTCGCATTGGCCTTTCCCTTTTACAGATGTCACAGAGGTTTATGACAAACTGAAACACTGTAACCCTCACATGAGTGTTTATCTCAAAGAAGCTATTCCTAACAGATTTTACTACCAGCACAGCGACCGAATTCAGCCCATTATTTTGGTTGCTGAGGAAGGCTGGACAATCACACTCAACACGTCATCATTAAAATGTAAGTGTTTGTTGCTGAATTTGTGGAGTCTCTAAGAGCTACGTTGTGACCTTGTTCCGAAAGGCGAGAGGCAGGTGCTTTGATGTAGTTCCATTCACTATCAGTTCAGTTTTGCAGGGCAGCTCCCAAGTGAGTTTCCTTGCACAGCCGTGTACAGTGGCCACAGCTCACTCTTCCATCGGGAGGTTGTGTAACTCCAGAGAAGTGCTGCACTTTCACTTTCCAATTCCTTCTCCTTGTCTGTGTTTGGGGAAAAAAAAAAAAGCTTGCCTGAGTGACCCCCCAGAGTTTCCTAGATGATGAAATCACTTCCTTGGATGCTCTGGTTCCGTAGGCCACTGTGTAACAGTTGAAAGCAAACAAACGGTTAAGTTAGCGAAGCATCGATCCGTCACAGCTGCTCAGTCAGTAATTGAATGTGCAGGCTGAGCTGTACTTCTTGTCTCAGACGGCACTTGCGCATCTGTATTTTGTTTTTCGATTTACTACTTTTAAGAATTCTGATCCCCAAGTCCACTGCAGGGCTCTGCAAATGCCCTTAAAGTGCTAGGTAATAAATATCCCTGGCTTCGTGGGCCCGCTGGTTTCTGTCTGAGCTCCTCAGCTCAGCTCTTTCCCTAGCATGAAGACTGACATGGATAGCTGGTGAGCTAATGGAAGCGCATGTAGTAATGAAAGTTGGCTTGCCGAAAGTTGGCTATGGGGAGGTGGAAGGACCACACTTAGGTGCAGACTGACTATGGGAATGTGGAAATATGGGGCAAGCGTAGAACAGACTGGGCACTATTTATATTTATGTTGTTTTATAAAACAACAAACTAGGAAAGTACAGGAAACAGAACAGAACCATTGCAATCCATCAGTATGGAAATGTAGACAAATGTTTATTTGTGGGACTTTGCCCTCCCAGTACTTTTTTCATATACGTACCTGAATTGGAATTTTGATGGCAGTGGAATCATTGGAGGCTTGTGATATCAGTCCCCTGAGCACTACATCAAATTTCCATGTCCCTAAAATGGAAATTCACGAAATGCATGTGGTCCACATTCACAGACAAGGTCCTTAGAGCCGAACTGAAGAACCTGCTACTGGATTTCCATCGTGGATGGCTTGCCATTATCTCTTTGAGCCAGACATTTCCTGGAGCTACCAGCTAGAGTTGTCTGCGTTTCTTTTACATTCAGTACACACATGCTTCCTCTAAACTCCTCACGTACCTGACCTTCCTGACCTCTGAGGTGTTTATTAACTGGCAGTAAGTCAGTGATGTGTTACGGCCGTGATATTGATATTGGAACAGTTGAGAGTTAAGTCTGGAGTCCCATCCCCCATTCAACTGTCTTCTTCTCTCTCAGTCGTACAGGCCCCTCGGCACCAGTGCTGTCGATAGTGAGCTTTTGCTACTAGCACTGGGGGTGAGTAGGTGAAGTAAGGCGGTTAAAACTAAAACATAAGGACCTCGGGTTGAGAAGTGTTGAAGTCTAAAGCTGTGGTTCTTGGGAAGAGAGGTGTGAGCGTCTGAAATGCGGGATGCCCTAAGTTGATGGAAATAGAGGTTTTCACGTCTGGTTCTGTTTAGTGCAGCCAGGCGTAATCTTAATGGATGGAGACAAGGCTGGCAAGAAGTTAGTGTAGTGATAGTGAACAAGGTATTTTGTAATAAAACGCTAACATTTAATAACATAATTTTGTCTCTTTTTCCAGTAGGTGACCATGGCTATGACAATTCCTTGCCTAGTATGCATCCGTTTCTCGCTGCCCACGGACCTGCCTTTAGAAAAGGTTACAGGCAGAGCACCATCAACACTGTGGATATTTATCCAATGATGTGCCACATCCTGGGACTAAAACCACATGCCAACAATGGAACCCTCAGTCATACCAAGTGCTTGCTCGTGGACCAGTGGTGCATTAATCTCCCAGAAGCCATTGGAATTGTTGTTAGTGCACTATTGGTATTAACCATGCTAACAGGCCTCATAATATTCATGCAGAACAGGGCATCTGCATCCCGCCCATTCTCCCGCCTTCAGCTGCAGGAAGATGACGATGATCCTTTAATTGAGTAATTCACCATGTCTTATTAATTTCAAAGCTAAGGATCCATGCAAGGAGTGGTGTGACAGCCAGAAAAAGGGATATTTCAAAAGACAAGACACACAGGGCAAAATTACTCTGGGGTATGTGTGTGGGTGTGTGTGCGTTTTGGTGTATTGCCTGATGCAAATAACCCTGATGGTATTAGAGTCACTGGTAAATCAGTTCAAACCACCTGTTTCCCTAGCAAGACTAGCCTTTGAGAAAAAACTCTGGGTCCTCCTTCCTTCTTTTCCTTCCTCCCTTCTCTCTTTTCAATGAAATATATCTTTAAGTGAAAATATACCAGAATTTAATAGGCATGCTTTTCTAACAAGTTTATATATTTGTAAATGACACAAAACTATTTATGTAATTTATGTATTTTATGTATCCTGGAGAAAAAGTTGCATATATTTTTATATTTGTCTTTAGTTAGTGTGTATCCCAGGAAAACCCTTGAGGTAGGAAATTCTGAGATAACTGATTAGCCACATAGCATAACTGTACCATACAAAGAAACCGTTTTAAATAAAGCTGCTAAAAGGAAACAAAACCCAAGGAAGACTATGTAATACAAAGACTGAGCTTGGTAAAACCTGTAAGCCGTTGACAGCTCAGAAGCTGAGTCTGGGACTGGACTTGGTGATGCACACCTGTAGGAAGGATGAAGCAGAGGGCCTTGAGGTGGAGTCCAGCTTGGGTGACATAACACCTTGTGGTTTTGTTTGTTCATTTGTTTCCTTTAGTTACCTTTTTAGATACTGTTGTTAATAAGGAGTTTCAAAAATTTGTGTTTAACGTCTCTGGCTAAGTTGTGTATGCCAGCGTGTTTGTGTGAGTGAATGTACAGACGTCATATGACATGTAGAGGGGACTGGACTCTGTGCCAGAACACAGCTGTCAAGAAAGGCTCAGCTCAAGGAAAGGCTACTTCTTGCAGACCTTACCTGTATACTTTCACCAACTAACAACTTAATATCACAATTAAAACATCCTATTTTTTGTTACAATTTTCAATTCTCATGTTTATTGGAAGTGTCCGAATGCTGTAGGAAAAATATGGCCTGAGTACAAAGCTACAAGGTCAGGATGTTTGTATTGACCTTCGTGGCTCTTGAATGTGCCTTCTACGCAGTCCAGTGGTAAGACACGTAAGGTTGAGTTTAGTGTCTTCTGCCCTGGCAGCGGCCATGTGCTCAGGGCAGAGCAGCTCCAGCCCTGCACCGTCCGCTTCCTCACCTGACTCATCGTAACCCCGAGAACCAAAGAGTTGTTGTGAAGCACTGTCATCATTCATTCCCTCCAGAGCTGGCTCCTCAGAACCAGAGCTATTAGAACAGCCTATCTGATGTCCATTAGACCACAGACCACCGTGTTACCGGTGTGATCTTCAGCGTTCTGACAACATAAAGCAAACTTGGCTATTGCTCTTCAGACGCAAGACGGCTCTACAGTAAGTATGCAGTGCAGTTAGACACTGATGATCTGTGATGATCAAAGACATGTGTCAGTCATCTTAGATGTATTGTGCTGTACTGGCTCACAGCGAATTTTCTTCAAGTTTGATGTCTGATGCTTCATTGAATTGGGGTTTTGAGAGGCATTTCTGTACTACATGTATAACCTATGCTCTTGGTCACAGAATGGCTGTTTCAGGGATGGGATAGGACTGATTTTGTTCATAAATGTTCTGATTTATTTTGTTACATGCAGTAGTAATACTAAGGGGTAAAGAGTTGATCCAGTAAGATAATAGAGAAATCCCTGCTTATTTCTTTCCATTTAAGAAAATCACAAATAAACTGCCATATTCACTTTGAAAAAAAAAGAGTGGGCTTTTTTGAACCATCTCCCAGCAGTGTTGAAGATGACCTTAGTTCCTACAGTGTTGTGGATCCCAGTGACTCCTTGACCTTGACTGCACCTTATACTTGGTGTCCACCTCTAGAGTAGACTTTTTAAAAGGATGGGAGAGGATGGGACGCCCTGTCAGTGTCATAGCCCTTGCAGCACATGTATTTATTTTGTATTTTATTCTGTTCTTGGAAGACTAGAACTAGGTAAAATTTTACAAAGTGCTCATTCAAGAGACAAAAATAGTATTTATTTAATCAAATAGATTATCATATTGAACTTTCTGCTAATTCATTTGTATCTTTGAAAAAAATTATCACTGTTAAAGCCCATGGCTGCAGTTTTGCTCTGAGAAAACCCTTTTAGTAAAGGTAGCCTTTGACATAGAGGTTTGGGTGTGTATGTTGTAAAGCATTAACTAAACCTGCTCTGCTTTCTGTTCAGGAGAAAATATATGGCTTCAGGAAATACTTAGCTCTCGGTGATAGTACCCAAAGATAATAGGAAAGTGTTTGTGTGGCTTTGTTACTTGCACTAGTCAGCTCAGAACTGAGTACCTTGACTTTCTAGTAGAGGACCAGTCATGTCCCTGTTAAACACCTATCATGCATGCTCTTCTGTAAAAGCAATGGAGGATGGCAAAGGCTCACTGGCAGTGCTGCCCAGAAGGCTTCCTTTAAGAACCCACAGGTAAAACCTTGGGATGTTAAAGGATCAAATGCCTTTGCACCAATGTATCCCTCTCATGCCCGCCTGGTAAGCTTTAAGGATGGTTGGCTTTAATTCCTTTTATGAAGAGTGGTTCATTTCATTTTTTAACATTACAAATGAAGGACAAAGATTAGGTATATAAAGTATGTATTTATTGTCAGTTCTCAAAAAGCGTGTAAATACAATGAGTATGCTGTAAGGAAAATTGCAGTGCCTTAAGTTAAAGGAAATACATTGTTTCAATTTGTAGCTAATGATTTTGCTTATGATTAAAATGTATGTAAATAAAGTCTACCCAAACAAATACATCAGCCTTCTTAATTTGTCACCTTCTTACAAACTGTACATACCGTGAAAGCTGAATGTTCATGACTTGAGCGATTCTGTAAAGACCTTTGTAGACATTCATTATAGATTTTTTTTTAAAACCAGGAATAAAGGTATATAACAACAAATTTTTTAAACGATATATAAAATACATATAGTATGAAGGCATCATTGGCAAGAGACCCAGAGTAAACTTGCACAACCTCTTGAACTAAGATTAATGGCTTAGAATAAAAGGGGAGAAATTTTATAAGCTGATTACTGAACAGTTAGATACACTTACAGTATCTAAACTTTGTCTTTTGTGGAACTACAGGCATTTAATGACTTACCCAAAAGCCTGTGAATTCAACTACATTCTCTCTAGGAGAGCATTCATTCAGTCAGTCTTTTTAAAGTAACCAAACACTGGTAGGAACTAGGAAATCTATTTGTTCTTTACTCTGGAAGAGAGGTTTTTACAAAGGAAACATTTGTATGAACAGATGACTCACATCCACTCATGGTTTAACTCTTGCTGTTGAGTTTCACGAGCCAGAATCATTTTCTAGGCTCTCCACTTGTAGAGATTAGGTGACCCTTTTGTCTCTTTCTCTGCCTAGTCTTGGGTGTTATTATATTGTCCCTCCCCCAGAACATAGCCATTGTTTGACAGACTATATGAAAGTTCAAAGATCCAGTTGGGTCCTGAGGTGCTGTCTTACAAGATGATGATTTGTATTCTAACATTTGTGAGTGTAGTGGCTATCAATGTCAAGCAAACTGGTCTCATTCATGTCCCAGAGTTAGAATTGCTTAACAGGCAAATACTAAACCGCTACTCAGGCCTGCCTACCTGTGGTAGTTCGAATGTATTTGGCCCCCATGGCCCCATAGGGAGTAGCACTATTAGGAGAAGTTACCTTGTTGGAGGAAGTATGTCACTGTTGGGGCAGGCCTTGAGATCTCATATGCTCAGGCTTTGCCCAGTGTGATACACTGTCTCCTGCTGCTTGTGGATCAAGATGTAGAACTCTGAGCTCCTTCTCCAGTGTTATGTCTGTCTGCATATTGCCATATTTCTTGCCATGACCAATAATAGACTAAACCTCTGAAACCATAAACTGGTCCCAAATGTTTTTCTTAATAAGAGTTGCTGTGGTCATGGTGTCTCTTCATAGCAATAGGAACCCTAAGACAAAAGTTGGTACCAGGAAATGTGATGCTGCTATGAGAGGCCTGAGCATGCTTTTGTTTGGAAGAATGTGGATCCTTGGATTTTGGATTAGAAAAGCATTTTGAACGCTTTAAATGGAGCTTAATGGGTCATCTAAATAGAACATGGAAGACAGTGGGTGCTGACAGTGATTTGAACTGTTGGAAGCCTGGCTCAGGAGGTTTTAGAGGAGAAGAATATTAGTATGTGACCTAGAGACTATCCTTGTGATATTTTGGCAAAGAAATTTGCCTGCATTTTGCCATTGTCCAAAAATTCTGCCTGAGGCTAAAATGAGGAGTTTTGAATTAATTGCACTGGTAGAGGAAATTACAAAACAGCCTAGTATAGACTGGAGTGTGGGGTTACTAATGTTCACCCTTATGAAGAGTGTTTTGATGAGAAGGAGCACGCTGAGCAAGGAAAAATACAGAATGTATGGCTCAAGGAGAAAAGGGGCACCAGGAAGTAGAATTCAGTTAAATCTCATGTTCAAGGAGGTAAACAGATTAAAACGTTAAATGGATAAAGGGAGCCTTCGTGACCTCAAGGCAAGATCACACCCAGTTAAGCTTTCATCTTGTGAAAAGGAATTAAAGAACAGCTTAGGTCCTGGTTCACACCTGCCAGTGTGACAGACTAATGGTCAGGCCCTTAGTGAGTGTATGTTTCCTGGCTACGGTGCTTAACCTCACTGTCATAAAGACTGGATAATTAGCTCCAAAACAAATCCAGAAATTATCCATAAACATACTTGAAGAATTTAGCACTCCCAGCTAATTGGTTACACTAAAACCACCCTTCCCATCCCCCAAAAATAGACCTGAGGATGTCAACTCACATGTGATGCGACATATGTGTCATTGAGAGAACAGTGCAATCCAAGCTGCAAAAGGATGTTCTTTTTATAGGCCCAGATCAAACAGGTCTCCTGATTATACTGAAGAAATAAAATACTTTTTTTTTTTCATTCAAACTTTCTGTGAAGGTACCGTCCCTTGCCTCACAGGCTTCCTTTCTTTTTGTTTTAATTTGTAAAAGGATAAGGAGAATTTTATTCTCATAATGGTAAACTGTATGACTCAAACAGTTGTTCTGCTAAAGAATGAAAAATTGAGAAAAAAAATAGAAAGTTAATTCTCAAGGTTTAAAGTTCAGACAGTGAAGAATTTGCAGGCAGAGACTAAAAATGAAGAACTGTGTACGGACGAGCACCCAGTGGCATCAGAGTATTCTAGAAAAAGTTGTGGGGCTGAGGAGCTGGCCTAATCATGGGGGAGGGGCTGAGCGAGTACAGGTGTTTCCATATATCATTTAATCATAGGAATCTATTTTACATTCTTTGGCACAACTAAATTTGTATGTACAAGTGGATAATTTCCTAGGGAGTTATTAGACTTAGAGAGAAATACAGTGGAATGATTTCTTGACTTAATTACTTTATTTTTAGAGTGAATTTTATTGTACTGTGTCATGGAATAAACACAGGTGTTAAAATGTTTTCCGTAGTGAAACATGATTAATCGATTTCTGTATCTGAAAGAGGTTCAGAAGGCTCTAAGCTATTATACAAGAACATACTGTACAAGTAAAGACCACAGACCTTCTGAGTCCTTTTTTAAAAATGAGTTTTCATTTGCCACTGTAACAATAAGAGTTTTAGAAAAGAAAAAGATAATTTTTAGATGAAAAGAACTTGATATCAAATCAAGCAAAAATAGAACCAGTTTCTTGTATGAGACAGTTAACATAGTGAAATTTTAAACTTAAAAATTAATTATATATAAAAGAACAAAACATCTGGATGAAAGTGTCAGGGGTTAATAAAATTGGGTGGACAAACAGTAGGTAGTGTACAAGAGAGATACCTCAACTGCAAAACTGCAAATTGCAAACAAATATATGGAAATTGATATCAAATCATCACCTGGATTAGCTGTGCTTTCTATGAAAAGCTCTCAAGACCCAGGTTTTAAGCTGGAAAGAAGCAGTGCATTGTGGTCAAAGGAAGGAGCATATGCACGGAAGAGACAGCACTTCACACCGAAAACCCTTTAAAACATACACATGAAAAACTGATAAAGGATCCCTAAGCAAACCTGAAAACAAAATTTACTACTCCTCTCAAATTGATAGAACTAGACCAAGAAAGTCAGGCAAAGAAATAGACTTGCCATCAACCACCCTAGACATTAAGAGATCACCACAGTGTAAACAGCAAAAGGGTGTTCTTTCTGAGTACACAGAATTACCAGATAGTGTCTACATTGCCATAGCCGAGTCTTTGCAAATAGTCTCAAAGGATTGTAGTCTTATAAATTATACTTTCTGGCCAAAGGAGAATTACATTTAATATAATGTGGGAAATATTTTGGAATTAAATAAACTGCATGCTTCTAAACCATGAGTAAGCCACGAAATACAAATGAAATATGTTGCAATTCCAATAGATAACCTATTGAATGCTAAGATACACAGATAAAGCCTTATTTAGGAGGAAAGTTACAACCTAGAATTGCTACCTGCCGAAAAATTCAAAACTCAACAATTTAAGCTATGTGTTTTTGGAAGGTAGAAAAGAAGAAAAAATTGCAAAGATAAAATCAGAAATGGAAAAGACAAGCAGAGAAAGCTAATAAAACCAAACCTGGTTTTATAGCCTTATTAGTAAAATGGTTAAGTCCACCATAAGACAGCACAAACTAGCAAGATGAATTAAGAAGTGGGCAGTCATAACTACAGTCTTATGTTTAGCAAAAAAGAACCCAATACATTTGACAATGTAGGTACAATGAAGAGATTCTTTGAGAAAATATGGTCAAAGTTAAAACAAAGTCAAGTAGGAAGTCTTAGCTGCCTCCCTTTAAATGAAAAATTGTTAAAAACACTCCAGGAAACTCCTAGACCAGGACATTTTATTAATTCTATGGGACATAGTATCAGTTTTACACAGACTTACAGAAGAATGGAATAAAGAACCAAAACTATGAAGATCTAAAAGAAAGTCATCATTATTCTTATGAAGAAAACTCCTTGAATTTAGTGTTGCAAAGGACGGTGTATTTAATAAGTGTCGTTCGCCATAGTGGTGCAACGTTTTCTTGATCATTTTACATCAGTCTGTTGGAGCTGGATGCATCCATCAGTGCTTAAGAGCCTAGGCTCCTCTTGCAGAGGACCTGAGTTTGGTTCATTGTACCCGTGTTGGGCAGCTCACAGCTGTATCTGTAGATGGTGTCTTCTGGTTGTGTGCTTCTGCACTGATGTACACATACACACACACATACACACATACACGCTTAAAAATCAAATATTAACAGAGCAAAAAGAATGGAAAAGAATTTGCTAAAACTCTCATCACTCATTTAAACAAAAGGTTAAAACTTGGAAAGAAGGAGAGTATCCTGAAACTGGTTAAGTGATGTGTATAAACCACTCCAAGTAGAAAAGCTACCGGCAATACTCTTAGTGGTGAGATATTGAAATGTTCTAAGTTCAAAAATGAAGAAGTTCAAATTCAGGACTTTGACTTAACTGGAGGATGTACCTAGTATTCAGGACTAAATGGCCATTTTCTCAGTCCATTATTCACCACTGAATCTTAGATACACGACTTAACTTCCCTGTTAACGTCCTCATGGCTATGTTGGAGTAAGAACGGTAGGAACCCGTGTGGCTGTTGAATATTAAAATTACTTTATACAACATACTTATATCTTAGTTGGGAAACGGCAAGTTCCGGTAACTGTTGGCGGATTCTATTATGTCTCCTTTTTTTTTGTCT